CCTTCCTTCCTTCCTTCCTTCCTTCCTTCCTTCCTTCCTTCCTTCCTTCCATTGCAACCCCAGTCTGCCTCAAAGGCTTTCCCTTTCCATCTGCATGCTTCCTTCTCCTTTCAGTGACATAGCTTTGAGAAGGGTCAGACCAAGGCCCAGGGCTTTCCAAATCAACAGGAAACAAGCAAGGAGTGGAGACAAAACAGGAAAAAGCCCAACCGCATGCCTTTCAGTCCAATAAGTACTGATGTTATGAGCATTAACCAGATGGGAGAAAGAGAAATGGAAGATGTGGGGACTATGCCCAAAAACAGAAACGGAAAATGTTGTGTGCAAAAGAAGGATGAAAATCACTTTAACTACCAATATCTAAAAGGATGGGGGTAATGGTGATGGGTCAAAAGGGCAGGTTAGGCTTCAGTATACAGTGTTCCCTCTCTACTTCGTGGTTCGCTTTTTGTGGACTCGCTGTTTTGCGGGTTTTTTGCCTCCCAGTTTATGGGAGAGAGGCAGCCAATCAAGAGAGATAGCAAAGCAACACAGAGATGGTTAGCAAAAATAAATAAATAAATAAATGGGTGTGCAGTGCCTTTAAGTTTCTTCTTGCTTCTGCCTCACCCTTGGAACTCAATATACATATATAGCATCCCTACTTCACGGATTTTCACTTTTCGTGGGTGGTCCTGGAACACAGCACTCGCGATAAGTGAGGGAACACTGTATTCATTCTTTGGATGAATCTACGTTAGAATGAATGCAGTTTGATCCCACTTTACCTGCCATGGCTCAAGGTTATGACGTTGTAGTTTGGCAAGGTCTTTTGCCTTCTCTGCCAAAGACTGCCTCAGCCAACTACAAATCTCAGCCTTCCTCAGCATTGAGCCACAGCAGCCCAAGTGGGGTCGAACTGCATTAATTCTTCCGTGCAGATGCACCCTTGGTTTCACCGCACCTGAAGCTGTTTTTCAGTTTCCAACTCACCGCTGAAATTCCCACTGATGACATAAGGGATGATGCCATCTGGCCAGACCCGCTCAAGACGCGAAGTGGCCGCCCGACGACTCCGGGTCCGACTCCGGTCTTGCCTCCATCGTCTCCTCTGCTGCCTTGCGGGTCTGATGCTGGTACTGTTGGAAAGGTTCCCTGTAAAGGAGACATCAGGCACGAGGGTTTGTGGCACGACAAAGCTCGTTCTAATTTTCCAGATGGAGACAAACCTTTTGGGTCCATGCTCACATGTCCCAGCTTTAATAAAGTAGAGCAGCGTTTCTCAACCTGGGGGTTGCGACCCCTGTGGGGGTCATGAGGGGGTTTCAAGAGGGTCACCAAAGACCATCAGAAAAACTATATTTCTATTTTGATTTCAGCTATTTCTTGTAGTTTTCCTTTTCTTTCATTTGAGATTTTTTTTGTTATTGTATTGTCGAAGGCTTCCATGGCCGGAATCACTGGGTTGTTGTAGGGTGTTTTTTTTTTTTCGGGCTATATGGCCATGTTCTAGAGGCATTCTCTCCTGACGTTTCGCCTGCATCTATGGCAAGCATCCTCAGAGGTAGTGAGGTCTGTTGGAACTAGGAAAAGGGTTTCTATATCTGTGGAATGACCAGGGTGGGACAAAGGACTCTTGTCTGCTGGAGCTAGGTGTGTATTGTCGAAGGCTTTCATGGCCGGAATCACTGGGTTGTTGTAGGGTTTTTTGGGCTATATGGCCATGTTCTAGAGGCATTCTCTCCTGACGTTTCGCCTGCATCTATGGCAAGCATCCTCAGAGGTAGTGAGGTCTGTTGGAAGTAGGAAAAAAGGGTTTATATATCTGTGGAATGACCAGGGTGGGACAAAGGACTCTTGTCTGCTGGAGCTAGGTGGGAATATGTATTGTCGAAGGCTTTCATGGCCGGAATCACTGGGTTGTTGTAGGGTTTTTTGGTTTTTTTTTTTTTTGCTATATGGCCATGTTCTAGAGGCATTCTCTCCTGACGTTTCGCCTGCATCTATGGCAAGCATCCTCAGAGGTAGTGAGGTCTGTTGGAAACTAGGAAAAAGGTTTTATATATCTGTGGAATGACCAGGGTGGGACAAAGGACTCTTGTCTGCTGGAGCTAGGTGGGAATGTTTCAACTGATCACCTTGATTAGCATTTGATTGCCTGGCAGGGCCTGGAGCAAACTTTTGTTGAGAGGTGATTAGATGTCCCTGTTTGTTACAACAGCACAACAACAGAGAGGAAACAAACAAGGACATCTAATACTAGTGGATATTTACCACTAAGGAGAAGATTTACTCCAACGAGTATTTAACTCTTCTCAGGATGATCATACTTTACAAAAAGGGTTATGATGATTCCAAATAGTGTGAATGCCAGTTAATCTCTGAAAGGGTCACGCTTCTGAACGGCTATGGAGACTCCTGGTTTCCCAAAAGGTTATGATCTCTAAAAGGGTTTTCCAAAAGAACAACGGTAACATATGGAACAATTTACAGTCACGACTATTTCTACAAAAACTGAAATTTTACGTCCTCTCCATTTCCACTTCTTGCAAAGACAAACGGGGCCGACCTTCCAACAAGGCTTCCTTCCTCCTTGAGATGTCTTCCAAAGCCCAACCTATCCTTTTGTGTGGGCTCAGTATGTTTTGAGGAATTGGGTATTTACTTTGGCTTTCAAGGAGCCGTGCAGAAGATATGTTATGAAAAAGCCAGCAAAGGATCGGTCGGCCGCTGTCCTCCCAATCGTTCTATTTTGGCGGCTGCTCTTTCGCGGGAGGAAAAATCGGGGTTGTTTCTTATTTTTATTCTGGTGGACAGTATGAAGGCATGGCTGGTTTCTTCACACGCAGATCACCTTTGGCTGCGAAAAGCAACTTTTCCTGCAGCGTTTTTGGCCGGCTTTGTAACAGTGAGTTCAGGAGGAGCCTAACTCCGGATGCCAAGATCTTTGTCTCCAAATTGTCTGAAATGCTCTGTATCAGCCAAGCTGCCGCCAAAGCCTACGGAAAAGCATTAGTTGGCAGAAGATACTATCTTCCAAGGCCTGGGACGACGGAAAAACCCACACAGCCCAAAAGCCAAGAGCAATCTTATCTGTTACAAACCTGTTAGGGTTGTATATGTGCAGGGATATCCAAAGCCTGGTTATAACACCCCGTCTAATTGATGCAGTTTGTGCTGGCACGGCTGTGCCAGGAGATTGGAATTTCTTTGACTTGCACTGTTAGTTTGCATGAATCTATTTGGGCCATGCATTTTGCAATTGGGTAGCTTTCCCCAGGTTGCAATCATAGGGCCAACAAATTATCAATCATCATTAGAGCCTTTAGATCCGCCCCTTTCCCCAGGTTTGGAGGGAAAAGCGGACTTTTAGTTCAGTCTCACAGTTTGGAGCCTTACAACAGGACGTGTGGGCTTTCTCTGTCCCATCTGCAAAAAGCTTCACTTCTTACAGCTTTGCTGGGGTTATAAGAAACAGATCTACAGCCAGCTTTGCTGGGGAGTAAAGTAACAGTTCCACAGCTTTGCTGGGGGAATACAGCCAGCTCTGCTGTAAAATAAAGGAATGGTTCCACGGCCTTTGTGGGGCAAATCTACAGGACACCAGCTTGGCAGATCTACAAAGACCTTGTCTGGTAAGGGTCACTCGGGCTCTCCATAAAGCAGTTTGGAAGTCTGGGAGTTCTCCTAGACTCATTGCTGAGCCTGGAGCCCCAGGTCTTGGCGGTGGTCAGGGGAGCTTTTGCACAACTAAAACTTGTGCGCCAGCTGCGCCCATACCTTGAGAAGTCTGACTTGGCCACGGTGGTCCACGCTTTGGTTACATCCCGTTTAGACTACTGCAACGCTCTCTACGTGGGGTTGCCTCTGAAGACTGCCCGGAAGCTGCAGCTAGTCCAACGCTCGGCAGCCAGGCTACTAACGGGTGCTGGGTACAGGGAGCACACCACTCCGCTGTTACACCAGCTCCACTGGCTGCCAATTAGCTTCCGAGCACAATTCAAAGTGCTGGTGTTAACCTATAAAGCCCTAAACGATTCCGAACGTATTCTCCCTTACGAACCATCAAGATTATTAAGATCGTCTGGAGAGGCCCTGCTCTCGGTCCCACCGGCCTCGCAAGCGCGCCTGGTGGGGACGAGGGACAGGGCCTTCTGGTGGTGGCCCCACGACTCTGGAACTCTCTCCCTCTGGAGGTCAGAACCGCCCCATCCATCCTAACATTTAGGAAACGGGTGAGTGTATGGGGCATGTCTTCATGTTTTTTCCCCCTAAAGCAGGGGTCGGGAACCTTTGGCCCTCCAGCTGTGGTGGACTTCAACTCCCACAATTCCTTGAGGCTCGGCATTCGCCCCAAAGGCTTACCTTGGCCCAACGAGGTTTGTTTGGCTCTTTTTCATGGAGGACGGGCAGCAAAGGGGGAGAGACGAGCGTAACGTAGCTGTGCAGATGGCGAGGAAGGATGCGGAGCCTACAGACTGGCCTCGGAGGGAGAGAGCGGGCGGAAACCCCTGCGGGCAACGCGCCTCCTCGCCGCTTAAACAGCGCAGAGCCCTTTCCCTCCAGCCTTCGCCTTCCCTTTTCCCCGACAAGCTCTGCACGACGTCACTCAGCCGGCGTCGTTGCTAGGGAGGGGGTCCATGCGGGGCGGGTGCTAAGGGCCGAAGCGGCGAGGAAGCGCGTTGCCCGCAGGGGTTTCCGCCCGCTCTCTCCCTCTGAGGCCAGTCTGTGGGCTCCGCATCCTTCCTCGCCATCTGCACAGCTACGTTACGCTCGTCTCTCCCCCTTTGCTGCCCGTCCTCCATGAAAAAGAGCGAAACAAACCTCGTTGGGCCAAGGTAAGCCTTTGGGGCGAATGCCGAGCCTCAAGGAATTGTGGGAGTTGAAGTCCACCACAGCTGGAGGGCCAAAGGTT